AGAGAGAGAGAGGCCATTGATTCTTTTGTTATATGTACATATACATTTACATAAATCAAAAAGCATTTCTATGCATTGCCCTATGTCACCTGATATTTGTCTGGTGCACAATATATATGGATCGACCCCACCCCTTCTCTTTTCCCGTCTCCATCAAACACCTTATTGCTCTCAACAACTTCTCTGCCTCTTCTGGACAACTCAACTCTAAGTTCGTCTGCAAAAGAGGGAGTGGAGTTTGAAAATTCTTCCACGGCATTCGCATTCGTTTACCGTGAGACGATGATGATGACGATGACGATGTATCTAAACCACTGCCAACAATATGCACCACCTCACTATCATTATCCGCAAGGATTATACTCTCCATTCCTATCCGAGACAGCACATCCCACTCTGGATCAGCTGGAACCCCTTCGAAACTCGGATCACCAAAATGTTTTAACCTAACAACCAATATATGCCTCTGAGTGATCAATACATATTGGCCGGGATGCTTAAGTGCTTTGCACATAACTAAACTCTCCTCTTCTTCTTCATCCTTTTCCTCCTCCTTGAGCTTCTTGAGCACATACGACCCAACAGCTTCCTCCCAGGAGTAAGGCCTCAAGGGAGAGCCTGCACCTAAAGGCCTCGGCAAACGGACCCTATGGCACCTTTGCTGGATTCTACTACGATTCCTAATACTCTGTGCTGCTTTCCCAGTCACCTCAAGCATACTAGCAGCAGGTCTTGCCACAAGCCCAGTAACACCCAAAGCTATACCCGAAACAAGTCCTGGAAGCCCATGCTTTTCAGCTCCCTTGATTGGTGATTGGAGCACACGAGTAAGTCCCTACGCCAAAACAAACAAACAAACACGATCTTCACTATTCAACCCTCAAACTGTGTTACAAAATTCCCTATTCTACACACAGAAAAAGGAGAAAAAAAAAAGAACAAGAAAAAACACCTCCAGAAATTCATTGATTACTCCTTTACTATGCAATGGCATTCCCTTCTTCTGCCTCTCGATCATCATTGCATTTTTGTCGTCAAACGTAAAGGCAACAATACCCTGCAAGTTGAGATGCAGTTCAAATATTGGAACAAGGTTTAGTTTTGTTGTGTTACATCAATCTAGAAAACCAAGTACCTACCTTATGTGCAGCTTTGCTGAATTGACTAGTAGCATCACTTATAGCATACACTGTATTGCTCAGCAGGCTTGTTGTCCCTTGGGCCATACCCGTAATAAGTCCAGCTGGGCTCTGGAAAAAAATAGCTTTGGGTTGAGATCATAATTTTCTCCTAATACTCAAAAAAAGAAAAAAAAAGATGACAATTATAAAACAAAAACCCATTTCCACCGAAGTACGCATATACCTGGAAAACACTCCAGATAGGAAGGGAGAAAAAATCTTTGATACCAAGACCTAAACTTCTTGCAAACCCCAAAGGGTTTCCTATAACACCAGCAGAACCAAAAACCTGCATAGTGAGGTTTGCTATAACGTGTGTAACAAAGTATGAGAAAAATGTGGAAGAAAGATAGTAGAAGTAATTCCTTTTTCTTATTATGTAATATGATTTACATCCTTTAATTCTCTAAATAGAATAGAGCAGTAGATCTGAATATTTAAATCAAGATGCACATTCCGTAACTCAAGTAGATAAAAAAAAAAAAAAAAAAAAAAAAAAAAAAAAAAAAAAAAAAAAGGAAAAACTTCAAGAATGATATCCTAAGAATCTGAAGAAATCAATATTCTTGAAATCTGGAGATATCAAACCATAATCCTGATTCTATGAAATTAAATCTAACCATAATCCCGATTCTATGAAATAAAATCTAACCACTTTCCAACAGTACGAATTAACTTAATTCAGAACTATCTAATGCCAAACTGTGGAATAATGGACCTTAAAAATTACATAGTACAAATACAATTTGTATAAAAGGTTAATAAACCGTGTATGGCTCATAATATATCCAATTCACGCAAATAATATGCAGAATTAAGTTTATTAAATATACCATTTTGTTTAAATCTTCATTTGACAGAAACAAAGTTTCAGTTTACACAAGATGACCAGATGTCTTTTCTACTTTCTACTTTAGTTATTAGAACAATATTATAAAAAATAATTTGTTAAATATAATTTTCCTAATTCATCTAAAAAAATATTGCAATTTATTAGCACCATGTTCAGTCTTAATGGTGTTGATAAGTTATGCAAAGTGCAGCCTTTAGCTCTAAACATGTCATTTCGCATATGTAAGCCATGCCCCACTTTGTGGCAAATTATACAAAAGCTTGTTTTCATAAGGCTACTTCTCACTACATGAAAAGGTGACCAAAATACTATTTACAACTAAGAACTGTACAATCAAATCAAAACTTTATCCACAAGATAAAGCCATCGAGGAAGTTACCTTATACATGTCATGTAGAAATTGTCGAGTATAATGGCTAACAAGGATCTCTTGGATAGATTCCCAGCTGGCCATCTGGTCTGAAAGAACCAACTGCTTGAAATTAATTTTTGCTCCCTCGACATCAGCAAGAGCCATAAGACCTCTCTACAAATTATTGCTTTCATTTAGTCTAAGGGGCCCAAAAAAGTACAAAGCAATTTCTATTGATGTAACGTATTACACATCATTTCTAGCACGACGCAATAAGTTGGCAAATAACAGTGTATTCAAGGAGTGTTGAATAATTCTTCACTTCAGTTTCCTGCTTACATGAATAAGAGATTCTCCAGATGTAAGGACACCATTCCTTTGGATCCATGGGCTGCTGGAAAAGCTGTGAGGAAAAAAGGGTTAGCATCATGGGGGCATTTACTATTAGATCGGCTGGATTTCAGAAGGCACGGCATAACAGAACTGCTAACCTCAATGTTAGTTTTATTGGCCCCATATCAAGAAGTTCAACATATATTTTCTTATGCTTTCGCGTGGAAAGGCAAATTTCCTGCCAAGGAGCTCCAATTGGGACTACATGAGGAAGCAAAAGGCTTCGTTTGGGATCATTACTAAGCAAAGTACCAGCGTCAATGGGGTGTTTCTCATACAATCTTCCAGAACTCACCCAAGCGATTTTAGATGTTTCAGCAAATTCCGAATCAGCAAACACTAGACTCTGTGTGGAGTCTACATGCTGAAAAACTCTGCTACGCAGTCGTGAAGATGTGCTTTTGCAAAATTCAAATAATCTCAACACAATTTCTAGCTCAATCTCAAGATAAAAATCTTCTATTCTGCAAAAGGGGAGTAATGCGTCAAAGGACAGAGATGCCAAACAACAGTCCAGATTTAGCATTCGAAATCCCACAAACCTGAGGTTAATATATTCAAATGAAGCCACAGATGCATCGGAGTTTCTCCACTTGGAAACAGCTAACGAGAACACTGGCTCATGCAAGTCTGTGGAGGCTGTCTGACTTGCAACTCCACCGATTGCACTTTTATCTTTAAACTTCATTTGGTTCACAAAATTGATCTTGTTCCCACGATTGAAGGACAGGATTACCGGATAAGGCGTTGTGTGTAATTGGTTGTCAATTTGCAACAATGCTGCTTGCAGGGAGAACTGCTGCTGATCCAAACTCTGCACGAAGTTTACTTTCAATTTCTTGGCACATGCAAAGAGCAGCTCCTACAAAATAAAAAGAGCTGCTATAATCAAGAACGGTTATAGGAGGTAAGGTAAACACTGGAAAACTTTGAAACTTATAAGTCAAACGCCAACAATAAAACACCTCAGGGCGAGAACTCATTAAAGAGACTCCAAGAAACGGAATGTCAATTGAAAACGTTTCCTTGTAACTAAGAAAAGATTCAAATTTTTGAGTCTGCCTTCCTTTATCTTTCAATTGAGGAACATGAAGACTCTTCAGATCTTCCAAAACATGGTAACTTGAATCAATGATACTTAGAACCTGATTAAAAAGCCATATACATTCATTATTATATCTAAAGCAGAAATGGTATTTGTATCAAAGAGGTCCACGATGGATACCTTAATTGCTCTTTCAGAATGGAGAGAAATGAGCAAATTTCTTTCAGGCTTCTGTAAAAATGTTGAAGGCGTACACATCAGTAAACGAAAAAAAAAAAAAAAAAAACTCTACATGAATATCAAAATAGTTGCATGTTTAAAGTAGTAGATGTCACTGCAATTGTCACAGATGGGGCTCACAAACAAAGCTTAGCAAATTGGGTTGCACTAGTCACCAAGATCAAATTTAAATTGTTATAACAAAATGTTGTATTTATTACAAACCACTTCACATGTACAATCCTTGAGGGATACACACAATTCCCTCCACTCCCATGCCTGTCTGAATTGGCCACAAAGAAGAAAGAGGTGTGGAAGTGCTAGACCATATGAGATAGGAAGCTAACCAAGAGAAGAGTGGAACAATTTGTCTATAATAAGAGCGACTTGTGTATCTTGAATCTTTCTCCATCCCCTTAAGAAATAAAAAATCCCTTGTTCTATATTTAAGACATAAAAACAAAATAGAGCAAAGCTTCTCCATCACTCTTAAAGTCTAGGATGTATCTTTGTATTATTTTTTACACCTTCCATAACCTAGGTTGGTCAGCATTACACGCAAAACCGAGTCACTTGTACGCCAATATTTAACACCAGGTAAGATCCATCATGCCCAATGACCCATATTAAAAAAAAGGTTCCTATTTCTTCTGGTCTAGATCTATTCTTTTGTTTAGTGAATTTCCAACACTTCTGCTGCTCCATTGATCTAGCACTTGTAATAGTGTTATGTGCTTGTCACGTTTGTTTTAATTAGAAAGTAAGAGGAACACATACAGTAGAGAAATATCACATAATCAAACTGGATGCTTGCTTGTATTCGCACCAAATCAGTAATCAAGCACACATATCAATTGGTTTGCTCGTATAATTAGATTTTCCTTGTATCTGATTTTTTTTTTTTTCCTTTGACGTGAAGCACACATCATGCATGTGCTAGCATTATGAAATGACTTAAGAGATATTCCTTTAATCACAATCATCAATATTGTTCCATCCAGTTACCAGTAGATTTAGAAGACAACTTCAAATGTTACAAAGACCTAGGAGTTTCGTGATTTACAATCTAAAAACACTACTCAAATAAAGGCTACACTTTGACATTGCAAGTTTGAGACATGAATCAAACGTGCACAACCTCACATGCAGGCATATGGCATGCAGAGTTTACTTTCCATATTGCCATTTCACGCACTTTCAAATTGGATCTATTTGACCGCTAAGAGATAAAAGATAAAAGTTCTTTTCAAAGGCCATTTTTATGTGGTAAGATATGTTTCTAAAATACCGAATTATCAATACCAGATGAAATTCAAAAGAGCCCACAAAAGTGTACCTCTGAAGTTGCAGGGAGACACACAAGTGAATGAGCAGATGCATCATCAATGGCAAATGTTCCTAAAATACGTTCGCCTGGCACCTGACATAATTTTGAGAAGGAGATTAATCCCCTAAGATGCACTCATCAATCTGAGTATCTGACTTTAAACATATCCATACCTCAACAATGAGACGGTGCGGTGCGGATAGCAGGGTTCATCCCAGGCATAAGAGGACGACGTATAAGGGTAAATGACTGTTTCAAAAGATACACATTTTGGCTGGTATATCCGTAACCTCTACAAAAGTGTCAAAAGAGATTGTAATAACAGATAATAATGTCTGACAGATTAAGGATATAAAGAATCAAAGAGCAGCATGATTGACGAGAATAATTGGGCAAAAGAGTTTGCAAATCAAACATTATAGCAATGAATAGAACTCTCAAAAGGAATTAATGCCAGATTACAAAATTGCTTAAAAAAAATGTTTCCCAATATAAAAACACACACACCGCGGAGAAGGGGGAGGGGAGGGGGGGGGGGGTGCGCAGAGTTGCAAGTAAGGGGAAAAAATTAACATTTTAGAACAGAAAGTGACAGGATTGATCATTCCTTCAGAAGAACAATTACATTAGACAAAACTGACACAGTTCTGAAACTTAACTCTGATCCCCAATGATTCGTAATAGTAGTCAAGTATTTAGGGAGATAACTTGAAAAGAGTGAAATCTTGGTTTGGAATTGTCAAGTATTACGGGGAGATAACTTTAATAGAGTTAAATCTTGGTTTGGACAAACACAAAACTTATGACAAGTACAACTCAACTATTTAAAAGAGAATTCTCATGCCCCCAGGTTTCGCGTAGGCAACATTACCACCACCGAAGCATGAATCCAGAATCAACTAACCTCCCTTGAATAGTTGTCAATCCTATATGGCATAAAGCCTGTATCATCAATGGACAAAAGAATCAAGTTTGTCCCTGAATTTCCACTTGTGCTTCCAACAATTTTTCCTTCTCCAACAGAAAC